CTTAATCTACCGACCTTGTCCCTGTGGTTTACGTATGCTAGGCGCAGACTCTTTATTATAATTTATTTCATGACTCCTATCATAACTCTATTTGTAGAACTGTAGAAGAAATTCATAAGGAAACACTAGCGTTTGTACTTTCTTACACCACTTTGTCTAACGTATTGCCTTCTTTGCTAGCTGATATATTCAGAAATGGCGCTTTATTTACCTTATCTAGTTTCATAGTAAATTTAGTATTGGCATCTATTATATTTATTAGCTGAAGGAATTCACCCAAACTTTATTTGCCGTAGGTATGTAGAAAAACTTGATTTCAAAAAATCCCTTAATAGATTAATGTTGGATCACCCTTCATTTTGTTTTAAGAGGCGAATGGAAGGGATTCATAAATTGGTTCCACCTGAAGATATGGAGGTATTGTCTTAGGACTGTGATTGTACATTTGTGTGAATAGGTTCTTTCTTGCTTTCGTATTTTGGTGAATTATGAAGGTCCCTCTAACAATGTTTAGCACACGTTTGGTCAAAGGATCAGCTTCACATGTCTCTTTGACGAGTTATGGTATGGTGCTAAGAATGGCAAGACTTATTGACGATGCCGGCGAAACATTTGGGAATGTACCACGTCCACTGTCCGACTTTGGAAATGATCATGCATACAATGGACTATGGACAAGGTGCGTTCCTCTAAGTCTTCCTACCAATATGACCAAGTTGCGAAAACAAGGCCAAACAACTTCTATACAACGAACGGAGACTGCGACCAGACAAAAGCCACACCATCTTGGTCTTCATATACTAGATTTCGACAGTTTGCTTAGTATTCACGCGTTTATTCAAAGAGATGATGTGTGAACATGATTCTTACTATCTGCTAGCATGGCAATCAGAGCCTGGGCGCTGTGCAGATGAGGCGACATTGTACGTGCAACTGAAGGCTTGAGAAATAGGGCCTGGAGCAAGGCAAACAGTAGCTGTGATGACAGTAGTTTTTCGAAATTCGTGCTCCAACTTTAATGTGTTGCCTTTGGTTGAGACATTTATTTGCTTGTTGCCTCTTTTGCATTGTAAATTTACATAAGTTTTGAAACCATTAATAATTCTTGAATAATAATTTTACCCACATTAGCTCCGTTAATATATATATATATATATATATATATAGTTGTTGAAATATAT